ATCCAGATGAATTCACATGCAAATCTAATTTATGTTGAATGATCCAAGCCAGTAAAATCCACTATAGACAAATTGATTTACAGTACTATCAAGACTCAATTATCTCGTACTCTCTAGCCTCCTGGATGTAAACAACAAGGCACTCTTGAGCTGCTTGCTTCTTCACCAACTCCCGACCTCTGGAATCGTCTATCTCATATGGATCACCGAGAACTCCCAAGTTCTCCTCCAACTGGAACTCCGATTACCTTCCTTAATCTTCAAAACTCTAACAGATATTTAAGAAGTGGGTGGTTTAGTGTTTTGAGAATTTGGATTTTGATGTTTTTAATGTAAGGAATTGATGTAGGATCTCCAACAGATGAATAATAGGAAGAATATAATGATCGACCACCCTAATGGACGAAATATAACTTGGGTGTATATATTAGAAGGTGCTTGGGGTTGATTAGGACTCAAAAAATTGTTTAAAACACGATCTAGGGTTTTCTCCAAAAAAAGCTAGTGCTCGAGCGAGATTCCTATGACAAACGAGCGTCGGGTCGATGCTTGAACAAAACACTGGCGTTAGGAAGGTGTTATGCTCATTGTTTTGGGTGCTCGAGCATGATCTTAGCATTGAGCGAGCATTAATGCGATTTACTGTTTTCAAACTATTTTCATTTTTCAATTTTACAAAACACTGAAAACATGGGCTTGAACCCATAATTATGGGTAATTTGCACCTTTTTAAAAGTTTTAACCCATAATTGCAATTTATTATTATTATATTTTTGTGTTTGTTTTATTTTAATAAAAGGGTAAAATGGTCAAAAAGAGACGAAAATGACGTTCTACGGCAAAAATGTGAAAGGTAGGGAACGTTCTGAGCCAAAAAACGAAAGGTAGGTACGTTTTGCTCTAATTACCATTTCTAAAAATGTATTTTCAAAAATAAGAATAAATTTATAATATAAAACTCAAAAAACATTTTTTTGTCATTTTGAATATTTTTAGTGAAAATTCTCAAAATACTCATGATATGGAAAACAAAAAATAAAAATTTACTTAAACAAAATTTTAAAAAAAAATAAAATTATATATATATAATTTTAAAAATTAAAATTAAAGAAAAATAAATTCAAAAAATAAAACTGATAAGTTCCTAGAAATAGAAAAATAAAAACTTTGAAAAGCTAAAATCTAAAAAAAAAAAATCTGAGAAAAAAAAATTATAAAAAATTTCTAGAAAAATAAAAAGAAGTTAAGTCTTATTGATTATTTACATAAAAATTCTAAAAAATATATTCTTACAAACACAAATAGAAATATTACCAGGCCATGTCATTAATTAATTTTAATTTCTTATATTTTGAACTCAATTTATTATTTATTTTTTTTGTTACTTGTAGCGAGGAAAAATATTATAAGATTCACCAACTTTAAAATGTGTATATTAGTTGATAATATATTAAACATAATTTATTTATTTTTGCTGAATAATCAAATTTCAGATGTCATAAAATAATTTTTAAAATTTCAAATCAAAAGTGTTTTCTAGTTTTCCGTTTTGAAAAATAATTTTTCAAACTAACAAACCAAATATGTTTTTAGCAATTTTGAAATAGCCCATCAAAATAGAAAATTGAAAATGAACTCAAAACTCAAAATCGAAAATTGAAATTTTTCTTTTTTTTTTTTTTAGAAATAATTTTCAAAATGATAAACCAAATGCGTTTCTAATAATATTAAAATAGACTCTTATAAAAGAAAATTGAAAATGAATTGAAAATTAAAACACAAATCAAACAGACTCAATCTCCAAAAGTTCTTAAAATTCCAAAATATTTTCAGAAAAAATTCTGGGAAGTGACACAAAGTCTTCTACATCAAAATGTTATTCATTTTGGATGGAAATTTACAAGAATTAAATTGGGGAAACATGAAAAATTACAATTGAAATAATTTTCGAGGGACCAATCACATAATGTGAAGCGATTTGAGAGGAGAGAACGAAAATATGGACCAAAGTTAAGGTTAATTAAGAGATATTGAAAGTAAGGAATTGGATTCAGGTGGAATACTGTAAAAATTATGTTATATCCTCCATGATGTAATACATAACTACGTTAAATGACATGTCGTCACTTAATAGAGCCACATTGGCCTTCTTAACATAGTGTAACTGTCCTGAACTTGAGTGATCATTACCGTAGCAAATAACTTAAAGTGACAATGAGTGTAACTTTAGAGAGAGTTGATAAAAAAATAAAAATCAATTATTATTGACCAATAGCATAACACTAAAAAAAGAAAACTCCAATGCTTCAATTAATTGATAAAATAACATCAATCCAGCAAACATAATCACTTCAAAAACAAAGACTGCAAAATTATTAACAGAAAAAAATTTCAAAAAAGAAAAATAAAATCCACACATTATGTACATATGGATCTTCTTCAACATCTTCATCAATCAATCAATCTTTCTTATTTTTTTCTTCTCCTGCTGCATATCTTCATTAGGCTCGATAAAGTGCGATTTATTACATGTTCCAACCATTGTTAACTCGAATTTCCTTCTTAATCGAAATGATTTATTGGAAAAAAAAAAACATTCTTGATTATAGGCCTTGAAATGAAAATTTTATTTGTTACGTACATAACAGAGTTCATGCTTATAAGCCCCGAAAAAACCATTTTTGCTGATCAACCATTCCGGTGGCAACCGGAATGAGATCCAGTCCACTTTGATCCGCATTGGTAGCAAAACTCGTATGTGCACCTGCATGTTATGTGTATACAACCATCGCTCTTTTCGACGTACATCTTGCATTTGGGACATTTCTGCCAACTTTTCTTCTTCGCAAGAGTCTTAACCATCACTTCGTCTTTCCCTCCGCTTTTGGAGTACAACTTCTGGAATTCCTTGCAGGTGAACTCCGGATGCCATGGAACCCGACACTTTGCACAAAATGATCTGTGACATACGAGGCACTTTACCTCTGTAATGAGGGCCCGAGAATCATTGACAAACATGGCTGAACAGTCATTAAAAGGACAGTACACTTTCTGGGATTCGGGGATCAGTGACTGGCAGAGTGACTCATCCCACTGTATGAGTGCGTCGTTTGGGATCATCAGCCTGCATGTATCAGCGTCTAGTGTGGTGTTGCAATTGAGTGCAGGGCAGTAGATAATTTTTACCCTGTCTTCTATCCTTGACATTATATGCTTACTAGTGCAGTCATAGCAAAACGAGTGGGAACAACTATCATTCGTGAACATCTGCCAGCTTTCTTTATTTTCCAAACAAATTTCACAGAAGCTTGTGAGTGAATTCATGACTTCATTTTCCACCTCCACCGGTTTGGTATACATAATTAGGCCTCCTTGGAGGGATGTAGTTGCCGTGTTTTCTATTTTAGAAGCTAGGATAGAAGCCAGTACAGCTTCTTGGAACTGCAATTCTTCTGCATATTCCGCATCAGAAACTGTGAAAGTAGGGGGAGGGGGAGAGAGAAATTCAGTTCTTGGATACAAAATGAGCAACCTTCAAGTGCACATACAAATAATAAGACCAAAGACAATTTCCTTTTAACAGAAGTAACAAGTTAAAACTCGCATGATCACCCCTCAATACCTCTGAAGAGCTGTTCTTACTCAAGTATTCATTACCGTAATACTGCTGGAAAATTCGATTTTCCTCCCACTTCTCCTTCGTGTTTCTTCATCCAGCCGTGTTAGCGAAAGATATTTTCGTGAAACTATTGGCACATCATAGATAGAAATGACTTCCTATTTCTACATCAGCCAGAGAGTTGCTTGCTTATTTATGAGGAATCACTACTAATTCTATGGTTTTTATATACCAATATACTTCATCACAACATCTGTAACAAGAAAATACGATAAGAAATCGAAGAAGAGCTTTGCAACCACATACAATAGAGGCAAAATCAGGGCAATCTATTTCTAACAGCAAAACCAGGGAGTAGCGTATCGGATAATGCATCAGTATTACAGTAGCAATAACAAAAAGAATGCAAAAGGCATCCATATCCCAGTTCATAATGCATTTTTTACAGTAATTCATGATAAAACTTGCAGTCTTCTCATAAAACACAGATATTATCATTGAAGGAAGATCAAGTTACACCAGAACAGTGTAGAAAAGTTAAAAAATCCAAAAGCTAACTGTAAGTGATGAGGTCCATCCATCATCCAGTCGATGTAACATTGGGAAGTAACGACTAGTCGACTACTATGAGCTTGTAGAATGTAATTAAATGTTTGAACTTCCAAAAATTATAGTAGTTAATAAGACACGGAATTATGTAAAACTTTTTAATACTCCTAATTAGTGTAAGTTGATCCCTTCTCATTGTCAACGATGCATATGGTGCAAGCAACTTAACCAAAAGGAGTATTAAAAACTTAATCAATATATATTCAAAAAGTACTTCTTTGACAAGATACATCCTTTCTTTGCATAGAATTGAGGTGAAAATTGGCATAATGCAATCCAGTGCTTGAAATTACAGTAAGCAGAAGCTACGTAACGAATTAAAGGCCTGTTTAGCATGACTTTTGCTTTCCGTAAAGGGGTGAAGTTACTTTAATTTTTATTTGAGAACTAATTTTTAAAAGAGTTTACTATTCTGAAAGTATTTTAGTAGAACCTCGTCAACTTCCTCTAGGAACTAATCTAACTAAAAGAAGCATAAACTTAACCAAAAGGAGGCATAAGCAATTTTTGGGTATCAAAAGCTCGACTTTTCAAAAGTCAGGCCAAAAGAGAAGTACAGGTTTGGTACGCAGAAATCAACTGAACACTATAATGATCTGGATTTTAGCTTAATTTTCTTCGTCAACAACGTGCAGTCGTATCCCGTCCTCCCGCCAAACATGGCGCAATAGTTATGCATAGTGCAAATAGAAATCTAAGGATCCTTCACTTTGTGAAATTGTACCGAATGAAAAACATGAATTAGCCCTTAAAATATAAAAACCCATGGAGCTTCTATTCCATGAGTTATACTTTCTTTTTTTTTCAGGAAACAAAAAATTTCCACAAGCAAATTCACAAAATTGACTTAATCCCCTTCAATAAACTTGAAATTTCAAGAATTTTCTCACCGTCGCTGTCCACGGGTTCGAAGGTCAACTGCTCCGGCGAGTCTCCTGCAGCCTCACTCCTAGTAATCATTGGTGCAATAACTAAACCATCGATTTTCTTCTTTTTCTTACAATAAAGTAGCCATGCAGGTAGACTAAGCACGAGAAAGGAACAAGCCGCGGTAAATACAGAAGTAACGGCCGAGTCTGAATAGAAAAAATTTCCAAGTGGGTGGCACAAATCGGTAAGGTTTTCAAAATTGACCGGAATTTCAACGGAAAATTTCATCTCCGGCGGCCAGTTCATGAAGCCCAGATCTCCTATTACATCTCTAAACATTTTGGATTGTCTGGTTGGAGAAATTCTATCTGTGTATCAGTCATACAGTGCACAATAAATTCCTCGTTTAACTTTTTCTAGACTTTTGGAGTGCACGCTAAAGCGAAAGATTAAAGAAAGATAGATAATTACAATAAGACCATGTTTGGCTAAGAATTTGCACTTCCCGTCTTAGAGTTTTAAGTAAGAGTAATGCTATTCATCAACTCTGATATCAAGTATCAATTTGAGTGATAATTATATGATATCAAATGATATATTTAACAGTGTCCATGATTCATATAATTGAGCATATCAAACGTTGTCATCAAATCGAAAAATCAAATGAGAACACTTGTTAATATCATAATTGGGTGTCCCATGGACCCGTTAACAGTGGCAGAGGGAGGTAGGGGTTGTTGGCCACTTAAATTTTGGGTTTTCTTTTGTTTAGAAAAATAAAAATTAAGTCCCCGTTTGGTACACATTTTAAAGATAAGAATACATTTTTACTGTTGATGTGATGGAGAATATGTGGTTGAAAAAGAAGGAAAAGTTATTGATGTAATGGAAAATATTACTTTATTGAAAAATGTGTGATTGACTCATTTATTGAAAAAATGAGTAGAAGAATGAGAATGAAAAAAATAATGTAGACCAAACAGGAAATATGAAAAAAATTTCTCAAGTATTTATTCATTAATCTCTAATCTTTATGTCAAGTTTGTCCCAATTTCAATCCATACTTTACAAACCTATATATTTTTCTCATTAATATGAAAAATTTATCAGCGTATAGATTTATTTATGTGTTTAACGCGATGTCCTTTTGAAATCACAAAAGATGTTCATTTATGATGTAATGAAATTTGATACACATGTTTAGAAAGTGATGTTAATATTAGAATAGATTCTTTCATTGTGGTACGGCATAAGTGCACAGTTTATCCCCAGTTTGATAGGGATTAAAATTAGATTTTTAGTAGATTTTAATAAAATTTAATAAGTGGATCTCATGAAATATATGATTAAAATTAATTGTTGAATTTAATTTAAATTTAAATTTAGATTTTAGTCTCTACCAAACATAGGTTTAATATTAGAAATATGGGCCTTTTTTTATTCTCATTTTTTTTTCAAAATACATTTTCTCTCACTTCTTTCCAATCACACATTTTTTTTTTTATTTTTTGCAAATATTAGACTTTAAAATTACAATCTTAAGATTCTTAACATTCAAAATAAAATATAACAAAAATGTGTAGTTTGGTCAATTGCCATTTACCAAATAGTTAGTTAATTCCTAATTCCATGACTTTTCTTTGATTTTGTTGATATTTAATTATACAGTTTGATATGAATAACTTTTTTATTGTCGATAAAGTGTGAATATATCATTGAGATAGTGACAATAGATTGACATAAAGAAACAAACTACAATCTAATCGTAGTTTAAAATCAGATCAAATTGTTATGTTTGATAAAATCTCAAATCGTTTTAAATGGTATGGTCTATATTTAAATTTTCCTCAAACCATTTAAAATAATTTGGTTTGAAATCTGTAAAAAATATCGAGCAAACTAGACTGCTTATTCTTTTATCCTGTATGTGATTGAGTCGATCCGACATACAATAATATTTTAACTACTTCAACAAGTCCGAGCATAAGATATCCAAGATGTTCATACATCAATATGCACAACCCCCATGGTTGCTCCATAGAGGAAAAATAAATAAATCTGTTAAAGAAAGTCGCGTAAATTGTCTTGAAAGCATTCGTTTATCATTTTACAGGCTTTGGCTGCTATCTAAATTTGTGCTTCTCTATGCTCTAGTTAATTGGTAGACCGATTCATCACTTTTTTACGTTCATTTCAGATTCAGTCAAATATTGCCACATTTGAAAATTTAATATTTTTCTTTTACTCTTCTGCAATGTCCTTTTATCTTTCCATTGCAGTACTTATTCCTTGTTAATCTCGTCCATATTTGACCTTGTACTAAATTTAATGGAAAATTGCAGCAGTGATTCCTAACATTTCATTTTTTTGCAGATTTTACCATAATCTTCACTTTGTGCCAGTGAAAGTGCCTAACTTTTCATAACTTAGCAGCTGAAGTCAAATAGATTAATATTTGACCGTTAGTTGACCAAAAAAATTGGGTTTGATCAAATTTAATAAGGACAAAATGGTAACTTTAGAATTTATATTTTTTCAAATATTATTAAAAATTTAAAACAACATTTAAAATAAAAACAGAAAACAAAATCTACCCCTCCCACCCCAACCCCATATTCTTCCCCACCCCAACATATGGATAGCAAAACAACGAACAAAATAGTTGTAGCAATTATGCTTAAAAATTTAAATGGAATGTTGTGTTTAGCAACTTTTAGGTATAAGCCAGTATCGAGCAAAATTAGCAATAACCCAGACAGGTGAGGAGTCTTCCAACAAACAAATGATTCTTGGTTGAAGCTCGTCAATGACAATTTTAAGGTAGTGGACCATATCAAACGGTAAATCAATGGTGGCTTCTGCATCTTAGGTAGCGTTGCTTTTTGGTAATCGAATCTCACAAATTCTATTAGATGGGTTCAATTTAGAGGCAGATTGAGAAGGTGTTTTCTGTAAGTGGAAACAAAGGAGACACTGTGGCCTTTCAGGCTATGAGCTTGGTGAGCTCTAGGTATGGAATCAAGTGATCGAAGGCATGAGAATATGCTACCCTACTCAACCATGGACTACAGTACAGATTTAGAGGTGCAGTGTACAAGATTCTCAAAGTTTTTCTTTACATTATGAGGGTTTGTGATTTAGATATTTGTGGTTGAAAGAGGTGACTAGTGATTTGCGTTGAGGAGCTGTGAGGGGTGGTGGTAGTCCGACGATATAAGCGACGACAACTTTGGATTATGGTTGATTTTGGGGTGGGGATGAAGATGGGATGGTGTGACACGGGGCCATTTTTTTTAATTGTTGTTTTAAATTGTTAATAACATTTGAGAAAATATTAATTCTAAAGTTATCATTTTATCCTTACTAACTAACGGTCTTTTCCATCCATTTGGACTCCAACTGCTAATTATGAAAGGTTGGGGACCTTCGTTGATACAAATGAAAGGTTAAGATAAAGACTATAAAAAACTAAAAAAGTAAAAGGGTAGGAACCGCCCAACAATTTTCCCTAAATTTAACTTAACATTTTCTAATGTTGAAAAAGTATGTGCCCAAGGAAAATATAAATTACCATAACCGAGCACTTGCCACGGTTAGGTACAACAACTAATGCCCAATGTCCAATCATATATTGATTTAGAGTTTCTAGACTCTAGTTGTCTTCTCTTGTAAGAAAGGCATCATTTCTTTTTATTTTTTTGTCGGTATTTTTCAACGAAATTTTGGGTCGTGTGTTCATTTTATTTTTCTGTCTATAACTGAAGTTTGAAAAATTCAATAAATTTGAAAACTAATCAAATATAATAAAAAAATAGTCATATGAGTTCTAATATTAAGAATTTTTTATCTTTCAATTCAATGAGAAATTTCCATTATGTTTTGCAAATATAGGGAAATTTTATTTGTATAGATGTTAAACATATTTAATTACGAAAGTTTCATTTTTTCACACGCTTGCTCATGGGCAAACTTGACTCATTATTTATTAAAAGCAATATGTACAATTTTATTGAACTAGACAGTGCGACTTGATCTTAAGATCAATAAAATTTGAAATATTTTATCTCTATCAAAATTCAATCATAACATATAGGTTGCCTATCCACACGTAAATCAGAATTTACTTAGTATGTTGACGTCGTATATATTACTAACCTCAAAGTAAGATGGAATTTTATCCCTGGTACAACAATCAAAGGGTAACTTCGAATAATTTGAAGACTTGAGTGTAGTCCTGGCAACGATCCGAGCCAACCTGAAATTCAAAGCTAGGGCTCGACTCGAGCCAAAAAGGGCTGAGCTTTTTTTGGCGAGTCGAGCCGAGCAAAAGCTCGATCCAAAAAATGAGGTTCGGCTCGAGCTTTCAACTCGAGCCTTAATGGGCCGAGCCAGCTTGATTTTTTTTTTTTTTCGTGCAAGCAACTAAAATTAGCTGCTTGTGCAGGCAGCTATTTTAGCTTTATATTAATTTTTCTTTTTTTTAACGGGCAGGCTCGGGTTCGGGTCAACGCCCCAAAATGGGGCTCGGTGAGTTGACGAGCTTTTTTGCCATCCCTATTTGAGTGGTTATCATTTTATAACTACACATTGATTGGTAAATCTCTTACCTACTCAGCACCTAGTTTCTATCAACAATAAAGAAAATGAAGTCAAAACAAATTACTTACTCAAATGACAAAACCTTGAAATAACTGCTTGTTAACTAATGAGGAATTTGGAGTAAAAATTTACATCATTTGAAAGAGACGGATCTTCTGGTAGAAACTATGAATTCCATAGTAGGAGAGAACAAAATTTATTGGAAGACTTTGAGCCTTACCAAAAATCAAGCATTTTTAAAAGTAAAAAAGGACGACGGTATTAAACATTATAATACTAAAATTTAATTTACTTTTTAAATTTAATAATCATCAATATTTGTCTAAGCTTAAAAAAATTATTATTTTTTAAGTAAATTATATATAAGTAAAAAATTATCAATGTTGCAGCAATTTGTTATATCTTACGAAGTTTTTTCTTGTTGCATTTATATCATCGAGAGGAATATGTTCATGTATTTGCAATATTATTGGACTNTATGTTCATGTATTTGCAATATTATTGGACTTTTTGGCAATCAAAAATAGGCTTTAAGTGAAGTGATCACATCAAAATTATTCTTAGAACACTACTACTTCGAATTGGAAACACAATGTTGTAATTCTATTGGAATAGTTGTACTAAAGCCAGCTCTTTTCATTTTTCTGTCATATTGAAGTTTGATAAATTCAATAAATTAGAAAAACAAATAAAACAAAATTAAAAAAAGATATTCATATGAGTTCTAATATTACTTATTG